ACACGGAGTGCTGGGCCCCCCGAGCCATTGGTCCACCATCTCCTTATGAGGTCCGCAATTCGGTCCCCTAGGACCTATTTTGTGCCTGCTGTGAACCACTACTGGAGAGAACAACACAGGATTTGGTGGGTAAATTCTGTGGCCTGTGGTCTCTCTTGGTCCATAGTGGTGATATATTTGGAGCTGCGTTGTTCTGTTGTGCAGGTTGCTGTGGGTGTAGGTAAGCCCTTTGAGCCCTGTCTATTAAAAGGACCTGCGAAAAGCTGCTGGCATACTGGTGTTGTGTCTTTCACAATTGTGTAGGAAAACTTCTAACCCCCGGGTATAAAATTGAGATAGAGGGATTAGTGAAGAAACCCCTTATGTAGGTATGGCTTCGTACATGGGATTTGGAACCATTCTTATGCCATTTTCTTATATGGGCCAGATTCCACCAAATTGAATGGCTTCACCGTTAAGTACTGAGGCATTTTGACCTGCTATAGGCCTCGGAATAGGCTGCGTACCAAGATTGAGGTGATGCTCTTTCACAGTTCTGATTACTAGTTTGACCATTAGAATGTCCATTAACTTGCATAGGCTGTTTATCTCTATCCAATCTTTGCTGAGGACATTCGAAACTTCCTCTATGTGTCTTACGTTTGTTAATTGGTGGTTATTCATTCGATCCAAAAAGGATGTTGCCCACATTTCCATTGTTTTCATTAATTGCTGTTCCATTGCATCTATTAAGCCACCCCATGGATTTTATTGGCTGAGTAGATGGGACAGTGGATGGTCCAATTCCTTGTCCATCCAACAGTCGAACATGTGGTACTTGTTTCTGAAGTACTGGTTTGTTCGACCATAGGTTCTGATAAAATGGGAATTTCACAGGATGTGTTATCACATTATCCTTTGGATTAGGGTATCTCTACCTCTCCTTCTATGCTTCTTCCAGGCGTTCATTTTTCCTTGTTCCTACGTCTAGCCATTTCAATTAGTCCCACCGGCGTACCAAAAATATATGTTGGCTTTTGGCTTTCGAAGGTTATTATTGTAATTGCGAGCGTGCCAACAAGGACAATCACTCCTTACAAAAATTTAATTGCCAACCAATTATCAGACGATTTGTTTTAGTTCTCTTAGCCTCAATGAAAAAGACTTTATTGGTTGGCTTGATTTAGGAGAATTAAGCAAATATCAATCAAATAAAGAACAATTAAGCATTTCATTAGAATGAAAAACTTACAATGATTCAAACTCAGCCTCGTAGAGGTGTACAGCGACAATCTACTTGAAACTACTCCTATGAATGAAGTGCAGTGCAGAATTTAAAGTACTAGAATGTAAAGAACAGGAATGTAAAGAACAGGAAATGTAAAACTAAGTAAAGTAGAGTAAGACTGGTTTTTTTGATCTGAGTCTAGGGGGCTTTTTCTGGGGCCTTCTCAGCTATTTATACTGCTCAAGGATGACCATCAAACTGCATTTCTAACTGTCGAACTGCTCCTTCATGATCGCTGATCATGTTATCTCAAGATTAGCTCCATTACGCTATTACTTGCAGTTAGGCTTCCCTCCTCAATTTGAATTTGAAATGTGAGTAACTGTTGAAGCCACATCACTGCTACTCAGATCTCGTAATATCCAATATTAATTGCCACGTGTACGATCAGGATCAAAGACTTGAATAGTCTTCTCATATTACCCTTACTTTGCCACTCGTCAAATTATAACTGACTTGTACAAAATATATAGCTAACATTGGTCTAACAAGATTCGTAGTTATAAAACCACGGACCGAACGATAAAGTTTGGTTTGCCTATTTCGGAAGCCAGAACCGAAATGTGGATTAAGAAAACTAAACTAAACCTTACAATTTGGTATAAACAGGACTAGTCTACGATTTTTTGATTTTTATGCACAGACCTATCACTTGAATGGTAGGGATTTTGACAAATTGACCTTGAATATACGTAAAAGTGTAATTGGCCCCTAAAAAGTTAATTTGAGAAAATTACCTCTTAACTGAGATTCAAAAATGTAATTGATCCCCTGAAAAATCAATTAGAATGAATAAATCATGAATTTTTAATTTGATTATAGCAATATCTTCTTAAACTAGTTGGTTATTCAAAGGTCAAATTGTACATTTGAACATCTTTTAAATGGCCAATTGTATTTTTGAATATCTTTTGGGAAAAAATTGGTCAAAAAATTTTTAGAAGGCTAATTATAACTCTAATCATTTTTCAAGAACAAGTTGCTTTAATTAATTTTTTTTAAAGATAAATTACAAATGGACCTCTTGAGATTTGTTTAAAATACGGATTGTACTTATAGTTTGAAACATTATCCTTTTTTCTAAATGAGTCAATTACACTTATGTGCAAATTTTAGAAGGTCTTTTTGACAAATTGCCTCATGAAAGATGTTGAAAAATGCAATTAGCTCCCTAAATGATATTCAAAGTGCAATTGGTCAACTAAAATACCAAATTGTCCTTAGATTTAATTTAATAGTACCAATAGTACCAATGACATGCCTAAACCAACCAGCATTCGCATTTCAGTCTGTTTTCTTTATCATGAGAAGGCCAATTTGTTAGATTTGATGTGTTACATTTCTAGAATGTTAGTTAATAATCACAAATTGGCTCCTATTGTGCTTTCAGTATCACAGTTTCTTGTCATAGTTTTATGTGTTATGTTTTTAGGGTTTTTTTTTATAGTAATTTTGGTTAATGTTTTTTCTTCTCTGGAAGGTGATTCTAAAATTATTGGCTCAAGTTGAAAAAAAATATAATAATAAAAATGATAAAACAAATAAACATAAAACTATGATACCAAAAATATAACAGGAATCAATTTCTGATTATCAACATTTCATAAAGAAGTGCCTCAGATGTGTTGTAAAAATAGACAAATTATTTTAGATGAGTCATTGATGCTACTAAATTATATTCAAAGACAATCTGCTCTAGTTGATTTTTAGGTGGCCAATTGTAGTTTCAAATATTTTTGAAGGGACTAATTGCACCTTTAAACATTTTTAGGACAATTTAATTGTACCTTTATACTGTGTTTGGTTGAGGAATTTGAGAAGGGATTTGGAAAGAGAAAGGGAAAACGTGTGTGAAACAAGGTGAAATGTAGGTATATTTTACTCATATTTCACCTAACTTTTCCCTTTCCCTTTCCAAATTCCTCCTCCAATCCTCCAACCAAACACAGCGTTAAAGAGATAATTTGCTTCAATTGAGCACTTTTTAACATCTTTCAGAGATAGTTTGGCAAAAGCCTCAGGTTTGGTTTGGGAAGTGGATTGACTTTTTGACTTTTTAATTTTTTTGGCTATTTTAACCTGGGCTAAAAAGCTTGGTTTGGGAAGGGCTTTTTGGCTTTTTGACTTTTTTGGCTTTTTTGTGAGAGAAGACTGTAATGATTATGGGTTGGATGTGATGTTTTATTTTTTGTGGCTAAAATAACTTATTTTGTCTTTTGTGACTAAAATAGCAAAAAAGCCCAAAACTTAAGTTGCCAAACAGAAGCTATTTGCTTTGATTGATTTTTAAAAGACTAATAGTTTACTTTAATTGATCTTTTAGGGAATTAATTACACTTTTCAACATATTTTAGGGAACAATTTTTTTTTCAATTGATATTTTAGAGGGTTGATTACACTTTGTAGTTAGTGGTTTTAGCCAACGGGCTAACCCCATTGGTTAATACACAATTTTAGTATGTTATAATTCAAAACTCTCATAATTTGTTATTCCCGTCTCCATAAACTTGTGTAACAAATGTCAATTAAGGTATTATTTGACATAAACTAAATAAATATTTTTATTTGGATTATATTATATCTTTATTTTTTTACACATTTTTTTAATAAAAAATTAAAAAATATACTTATTTAAATCATCTCAAATAATTCTTAAAATTGAAAAGTGAATTACCTAACAGAACAGAGAATGTCTCACCATATTGTTAAGTAGAGGAACAAAATAATTTGGATTCTTTTGGGTTGTGAGTTAATTTTTTGATTATTTTTTAATTTAGGATTAAAAAGTCTCGTTTAGAATAAATTTTTTAATTTTTTTAATTTTTATGAGAGAAAAAATAAAATAATTATAAATTTAACATGACATTTTTATCTTATTTAGTTAAAATAACTTATTTAATCTTATATAATTATTTTTAGCCTCAACTTTTATCTCAAACGGGACCCATGTGTCTCGTTTAGGGAAGGTGGTAATTATGTCTCTTGCCATAGAGGTAAACATCAAATTCTTGTAGCATGACTTACCTTCCCAGGAAAGAACAAAATAGTAATCAGAAGATAAATATTGTAAGGAAATTAATCTTGCGAAATTTTTATTTTTTTATTTTGTTCAAAATAATATAGTTTCAATGGATACTCTATTATTTTAAAATAATAAATCTCAATGCAAATATATCATTTTAATTATATAATTGAGACTTATGTATAATTAAGAAATTTCTTTATTTCTAATTGAAAATTGTTTATTACAGTACCTACAAAGTTTTTTTAGTTTTTTTTGTAGTAATTTTTTTTTCTTCAAATTTTTTTATTAACTATAAATCTTGTTTGATAGATTTTCTTTAGAACTATATATTCAATGAAAAATGAGTTTATTCGAAATGGAATCTCATCCCATCCTTTAATTTTTTCAAACAAACAAGGCCCTAGTGTAATTAATTTAAAAATCCATTATTGATTTTGGCAAGAGACATGTAAACTAATTTATTGTCAAAATTATTATTTAAGATTAAAAATTAGATTCAATTTTTAAGTCTGGTGACAATCAATTAAAATATTAAAAATAATATTTTTTTTATATATTTTTTAATTATTAATTAATCATAAACTTGTATTTACATATTGTTAAGTTTATAAAATAAATCTAAAACATAAACTTGTATGATAAAATTTTATTTGCGATAATTTTATTTTGGCAACAAAAATATAGCCCCAGCATTATCTAAACTCACAAGTCATTTCTTGCTAAAAATTTCTTTATAGAACTTCTGAATTGGGGATTTTTTTGGATCTACGGACGAACCAAAGATGGCTTCTTCATATCTCATGGCTTCCCAAACCCTAATCCTCAGAAACCCTAACTCTCTCTCTCCTCACAATCTCACCCATCTCTCTCTTCCCTTCCCTCCAAAACACCTCCTCCTCCTGAAAGTCTCCAAACCCAGAACCCTCTCTCTCTCCTCACCCCCTAAGGTTTTTGCTTCTTCTTCATCTTCTGCGACAATCCCCAACGACCCATCAACCAGATCTTCAAACCCAGCTCAATCATTACTCGCCGGGTCTACTCGGACAATCACAACCATCTTGGCAATCACTTTCTCAGTTTCAAGACTTGTCGCTTTGAAACTATCTAGCTTTGCGCTCAAATTGAAAGGAATTTGTACAACCCCAACTCCTGATGAGCTCGCATCGATTCAAACCCTTCAAGATAGCTTGGTTTGCACTGTTGGACCGTTGTTTTTCGCGGCTCTGAAGGACCGTCCCAGTGGGTACTTGAACACTCCATTGACGGTGGTTGCGTCGGGAATGTCGAAATGGCTTGATATATATAGTGGTGTTTTGATGGTTAGGGTTTTGCTCAGTTGGTTTCCAAACATTCCGTGGGATCGCCAGCCATTATCGGCCATTCGGGACTTGTGTGATCCATATTTGAATCTTTTTAGGAACATCATTCCGCCCGTATTTAATACCTTGGATGTTAGCCCTCTTTTGGCTTTCGCTGTTTTGGGGACGCTCGGTTCGATTCTCAACAACAGCAGAGGAGCATATTGAAGAAGATTGGCGGGCTTGGTGGGGGCTTGTTCGGTGGCATTTACTTTAGAGTATGAATTATATGGTTTTAGTTCAATTAGTATTTACCGTTTCATCAATCTGTTGTAGTAAATTTGATACTATCATATAGTTTTTTTTATAATTTTCAGGATGGAGAATATAATACTATTGCAGTTGATAATGGAACTTGAATTGTTCTGATGGAAAATAAATTAAGTTTCATGTATTTTTTACACCATGGATTGTAAAGCAAGTATTTAGCCTCGCTATTTGTTCTATTGTCCAAAAGATAAGTTTTTAAATCAACCAATTGACAACCCTGAATTTTGTTCAAATTGACATTCTTTCTAGTGTTTTGACCTCTGCAATCTGTTGTCCAATTTTTCCGACGAAGTTCTACTACTCATCGCTTAGCAGCCTCTTTTATGGGTGGCAGATTACAAAATGATTTAATTTGCGGATGGTTGTCTTTATTACATATGGTTATTAGCGCTTAGGAATCTGCAAGTGTACTCTTACTGGTCTTTCTTACAGTACTCTGAGGTCTTCCTTGTGCTATTATGGTTTATATTGTGCTCATGGAATTCAAAATATTTAATAATTTTATAATGTTTAAAATCTGGCTTAGCTTGGCCACAACTCTTCTAGAACTTTGCTATTGTTGCTAATATTGCAAAAAACTAATCCATTGGCTCTCTCTGATGCTTTAAGCTAAGTTTGCATACATGAAATTTAAGTCCTTCCAAGAATGGGTAATTCTATAACTGTCTAGTTTCTTGTTGAAGCATTTGGTTGATTATGGATAGTTGAGATATATACAGATGTTGGCCGATGTTCCATGGGTATAAAGTGGACGTAATTAGACAGTAGGACTGGGTATTCTTGCTTAGTTTGTAGGTTATTGGAACTATTCCATTGACATGCATATATGTTATCTTGTTGTGGCCAAGATTGCCCATTATTGGTGATGTCAAATTGGGAATCAATTACCATTAGCCACTTGGGTTCCTGCTATGTTTTGTGATTGATACGGAGTGGATGCATTGAGTTCCAATCCGAATGACTTTCAATAGAGAAGAAAATAGGTTAACTAATTTATTGATCATGTGAATTATGTTTTCTCAAGTATCTGGCATGGCCAATTTTTATAGTTACCCTTTAATTTTTCTAAATTTGGTTTGGATGTTTATTATTCAGCTTGTGGTTGTTCTCATACTTGCACCGTATTTTGATACTAGTTTTTAGTTATTGTGTTTAGTGTTTATGTATTTTGATGCTTATTGTGTATTTTGATGGTATGGGATACCTTCAATGTTGTCCTAGCATGGCACATGCTTTTTTTTTGTAAATTAACCTTGTTCCTTAGTTTGTACACTTTTTCTGGAGCCTGAGAAGATGGTAATTATGTGAACACTACATTCCTTTGATGCATTGCAACGCAGCACCTGGCCTTTAGCAATTAGGCCAAGAGTTTGTGACAATTTCCAATTAGAGATAGTTCCTGTCCCTTTCATATAAGAAAATCTTGGTGTCCTGTACGTAGATGGTACACATGAAAATCACGAGTTTGTGACAATCATGGATGATGTGCTATTTATTTGACTTTGATTTGTGTTGCATGGGTACACATTATAAATAGTTGCCTTCTGATATTTGTATGGAAGGATTGTAGGGCTTTAAATTATCACATTCCTTTGATGCATGGAAAGTACTGTTTTGCCTGGCTACATGCTCGACCCATTTCGATCTTGTTATGACCAATGGTTGGTCCAATACATGGAAGCTACAAGCTGGCTAGGTAAAGACCTTGATGTATGGACATTTGTCTGGTGGAGTTTAACCTATTATGTTTCCTAATTCGATAGTGTTTTAGGAATTTTTATCAATTATTTACCAAGGTAAATTTGTGCCTTGTTTTTTTGCTGCCTCAGTTGATGTTTGCTTCCTTTGCAAGTACGAAATTGTCTTGATACAGTTCACTTGAAATCCTTTAAGTCACAGTGTTACCTCAATAGATAGCTATGAATCATGGCACTTTAAAATAGGTGGCGTAGTGGTGTCGGATACTGGCGTGTCCCTTTAATTTTATTATTTTTTTCCAAGGGACACTACAGGGACACGTGTGTCCAAATTTGGACACATCAGGGGCGTGTCCCTTTAATTTTATTATTTTTTTTGCAAGGGACACAGCGAACACACGTGTCCAAATATGGATGATTTATTAATTTGTTTAAATGTAGTGGTTATATATATATTGAATTAATGTTAGTTTTTATTAATTTTGATTGTTTGGTAACATAATATTAATCTTCATATCAAATATATATAAAAAATAAAATAAATAAAAAGTTATTGTGTCTCCCGCCGTGTTTGTGTCCCTATTTTTTTGAAATCACCGTGTCTCGTGTCCTTATCCGTGTCTGCTCTTCATAGATATATAGTTATGTGGGGAAGTCCTGTGCGAAGTAACCTTACATTTATTGTTGGTTTGAGTTAGAAGTATGAAATAGAAAAATATAACCCAGGGATTAGTATCATACAGAGATCTGAAGGGATCAGTATATTTGGGTTTGGGCCTTGGAAGGGAAAAGAAAAATAAAAAATAAAATTAGGGTAGTCAAAAAAATTGTCATTGCCGCCGAAACCATCAGGTGACTAAGAGTAATATGCAGGTCTTAAAAGCAATTTTTCTTTTCTTTATGTGCTGTCAGTGATGTAGGGAATACATCAAAGGGTTAGACAATAATTGCATTTTTAACCTTAGGTATTGCTGTTGATCCTTATTTCTTGCCATGTTTTCTACTACCTATTTGGTTGCTCTGAAGTGTTGATCTTAGGAGATCCCACTTCTCACTTCTCGTGTGTGACACCTGCTTATATTGTGTGTAAAGTTGATTGCAAGACATTGTTTTGGATGTTGATCTCCAAGCTGACCCTTGGTTTCCATGCAAGCATTCTATGAAGGCAATTTCATTGTTTCTTGTATCAAACGAGCTAAAAAACTTGTGGTGGTTCTATTTTGCAATTCAGGTCCCTTAAAAAGTCATATGCATGATTGTGAAGAAGCAACTCATGATCTGGGATTTGAAGTTTTGGAAGTTTTCTTTGGATTTTTTGGACTAGTAAATGAGTTGTTTATGCAGTAGGGAAACATGTTGGAATCTTTTCTACATGTTGGATAGTGAAAATTTCAGTGTGTTAACGTTTGAAGTTGGGGAGGAGATATTCATTGTTGGGTGCTCTTGGAGACGATTCCAGATTTGCTAAAGTTGAAAATCTCAACTTCACAGTGAAGTTGACCCATTATTTGACTAACTTAGATTTATTTCGGTAATTTAAACCGTTCATCTTGTACAACTAAATAAGAAAATTATCTATATAAAAAATTAAATTCATCCAACATCGATTGTCTTACTATTAGATCATCTTTATTTATAATGTTTATTTTTAGGAATAGATCGTCCATTTATTATAATATATATGTGATTTGATCATACGATTACTTATGTTTGATCAACTTAATTTTTTGCATGCATATTTTTCTCAGCTTGTCATATGAGATAAATGGTTGAAATTATTGACATGGATGCAGATTAGTTAGCAAATTCAAAGTCGTTGGAGACCTTGTTTCAAGGGAGCTCTATGCTCCAATAACAATATGCCACCCGTGTTAGTGGGCCAACACTAACACAAAGTTTCCTCAGGCTGATTGTGGAGTTTCATCAGACTTAGATTTTAGACCATACAAGGAGGTAACAACCCTAGTGCGCAGGGTAGTTTTGGGCCAGATTACCTCACTTTTACAAGATAGTTTTCTTTTCTGCAGAGCCATACATTAGCATTCGTTTCTTTTAGACAACCAGTTTTGCAGATTGTTTTTCTACAGAAACCTGTGTGCAATGATATTTTCCAACAAAGCTGCATGGAACAGAGTTTTGACACTTGAAATAAATTGTACCTAAAGGTTTCAAAATTATTGAAGAAATTCAAGGAAAGCGGCGTTGCTGCACTTCAATCTATTGTGCAAATAGATTTGTCCACTTTTCTCGAGGGTTGACATGGGATAACAGTTCTACAAAATTCCCTTTTCCCTCTTCTCTCATGGTACAATACATGAAATTGACTCACATTCTTACAAAAACAAACAATGGGTTCTTAACATCCCTATATACAAATGCAGATCGACACATGAATAAGAACTGTACATTAACTGTATTATTATTTTTTTATATTTTTTTCCGAAATAGGAAGTTGGGTAGGTTGTTTTATCACCTGCAGCACAAAGGTTTCCCTTCTTCCTCACCGGACTTGCTTGTTTCACAACTAGATGGCTTCATGTCTCTCTTGATAGGGAGATGTTTAGCTCTTCCATCCAAAATTGTAGAAACATCAGGTTTTGATTCATCATTGCCATTGTTGATAAAAGAAGGATGATCTAGGTTTAGCTTGAGTCTCTGGTTTATTTTTCAAGATTTTTGCCTGTTTTTTGGTCTTAATGGGCTCTCTCCATGCATATGCTTCCAATTTGTGAGCTCAATTCCTATTCACTATTGGCTCTTTGGTTTGAATAAAACTTTTGAGATCGGCTTTGTATCAGTCTTCCTATTTTAGCAGCAGAACATGGTATTAATCAGTACAGAAATTCTATGTGTACACCTCTAATCAATATATGGTTGTCCTTTCAAAGGTACTGACTCAAACATGGAAGATGAGGAACCAATTAGACATGTATCAGTTGATTCCTAGTCACCCAAAATGACAGGCATCTTGTCGATGCTCATATTACGCAGGTCTCAATGCATCACACTTGCTAAAAAATGGGGAATGAAATTCAGATAACGAAAACTAAGAGAGGGAATTTGTGCCGAACAAATGGGCCAAGGAGAATCAAGATTTGGGCTGTTGTCCTAGATCTCACAACCGGCCTAGAAAGACACCCAAGTGTTGGGCTGAGATGTTCAATCGACACGGACCAAGGGTGGAGTTCAATCAAACAGTAGCCTTGCTTTTGGCTGGCTAAGGAATGGCCAATGATTGCAGCCGGGCATTGGAGCTAGGCGGAATTTGCTTGGGTAAACAAAATACCACCGAGCTTAGGGGTGGCCAACGTCGGCGACTCTGCCACCAATGGGCTAATCATGTCAGCCGAGATTCAAGGGTGGGCAAGGTTGGCTTGGATGAGTGCACCTGACTTGACCGTGCTAAAAGTGACCAACTGGGCACCTCAAATCTAGGTTGGTTGGAAGTAGCTAGTCTTATAGGGTGGACAGTATCGCATCGGGCTATAGGCTGCTCGGCGGGAGTTGCCACGTGGCCCAATTGAAGTGCAAAGGGGGGAACCCGCCATCCGTGCATGTCAATGCCATTTGGCTATTTTGTCGATGCTATTTGGCAATATTGATGCATACAAGTGTAGGGCGAATAGAGGATAGTACATCCATTTGTCCAGGAAAGGACAAGCAGGTAGTGCGCACACAAACTATATAAACCCTGTGGCAGCCAACAAGATGAAGCCTGTTCCTTTGTCTAAATATAGAAGTCAGAAAAAATCGTTAATTAAACTTATTAATTTTAAACATGTTTGTAACCAGGGTGTTTGATCTAATGATTATGCAAGTTGCAAGTTAAACTCCTATCAAAAGGTTTATTTATCTCCTATTATAAAGGGTTATATGTAAGATGGAAACATATTATCGATCATGCATTAAAAAAATAATAAATAAATAAAAATAAAACAGAAAACTAACAAGGTCGGTTAATCATAAATTTAAAATTAAAAAAAAAAATCATTGGTATCAACACATTATAAAAAAAAAAAATCAATCCCAAATGCCCGCATCTTCTGAACTCAATGATGGATAAGTGATATGTATGGTTGATGATTAAAGAATATATGAGAGAAAATGTTACATTTAATATCTTAATTAATTATCACATCGTTAGATTTGAAAATTGGGTCTAATTTTTGTTTTCGAATAGCAATGTTCTACAATAATAATGGTGAGAATTGCACAAGAATGGTATCAACACAAAATAATTGTAATGTAGTACAAACAATTTATGTATTAGATTGTGCACTAAATATTGTACTTTCTTTGTTTTTTGAAATTATTTTGAGTTTATATAAATAAATAAAAAAATTTACTACAGTTTTGCATAAGAATATGGAAACATAATAGTATAATAATAGATAACATATAAGTCAAGATACCAAATTCATGCCATTTTGGAAAGATAAATTTTTAATTAAAAAATCATTATAAATTGTCAAATTACTCTATCTATTTTTTTTATATATTTTTTTTATAAAAAATTAATAGATTTATACTATTATATATGTGAGCACTTATTTTGGTATCTTAAAACTCTCTTTCTTTTTATATCAAGTGTCCAATTTTTTATTCCAAAGAAAAAAAAAAAAAAAGTAGGTCAGACAATAAGATTGAAAGAAATTATATATATAGCATTATATATGTGAGTATCTATTTGGTGTCTTGAATTTTTTTTTCTTTTTATATCAAGTGTTTAATTTTTTATTCCAAAAAAAAAAAAAGAAGGTCAGACTTGAACTTCACTACATAGATTTGATAAAGAATAGTCTTATCATTTATGTTACCTGTAACATATAAGACCATCTCTAATGGTTTATCAAATATTTTATCAAATTTAAATTTGATAAAAAAATTATTTTTTGTTGCTTTAATAGTTCACCAAATCTTTTATCAAATCTAAGATTTCTCAAATCTTTCATCAAATTGATGATAGATGTGTTTTTTATCAAACCATTGTTAATAATTGTTGGATTTCCACCACCGAATGGCCCCCCAAATGTTCCTCCGAATAACCATCTCAAGACAAAAATTTGCACTAGCCGATCGACCAGCTGAACATCTACCCAGTCGACCTCCCGAATGACCACCTCAAAGTAAAAATTTGTACAAAATTTATACTAGCCGGTCGACTAGCCGGACATCGGCCCGATCGTTTGTCCAGTCGACCAATGTTCTAATAAAACTTAAAATAATCTCCGTTGAAGCACTCAAATTTTTACTCAAATTTAGCGAAAAATTTAATACACTATTGAAGATATTCAAACAAATATTTTATTTTCATTTATTTGATTTATACACACATCGCCAATTATTAAAAAAAAGTTAATTCCCAACTCACTCAAACCAGTCTTTAAAAATCAAGTCATGTTTTTTTTAAAAAATAATAATTAATAATTAATAACGGGTTTCGGGTTAATGGCCTCAGCAAAGCAAAGCAATCAACCCAACCCAACCCAACTCAACCCAACAGAACAGACGGTGGAGGCTGGTATTGGTCGGGGCCGTTGGGGGAGAGCAAAGCTCCACAATGCTGTCGATTGCAAGGCGACTCCAGAGGTCTCACCCATGCCTCCACCAGCAAGCCGCTCATCAACTCCGGACCGACGCCGCGGGCTCGTCTTCTCCGGCGAGGAGGCGGCCCAAGTCGAGGGCGGTGACGCTGAAGAAGGCGGAGGATAAGTCAGAGTGGTGGGCGGTGGACGGCGAGATGCACGAGATCGGCGATAACGTTCCTCCGAGGGAAAGGTTTGTGATCCCCCGAGACAACATCCCTAACAAGCGTCGCAAGCAGCTCCGTGAACAGTTCATGCGCCGCACTCGTCTCGTTCTCAAAGAATCGGTACCTACCTACTCACCCTCTCTAGCCCTAGGCTTTTTATTATTCAATTTTCAATCTGTTTGGTTGCTGAGAAAAGGTCGGGAGTGAAAAGAAATTGGAATTCTTAAATTTTCATATTCATTTCCGAAACGGACAGGAATTCTCAAGGAACAAAAGCTAACAGCTTAGATCATCTCCAATCCTTACACTCTTTTTTCATCAAATTTGAGTGAAATTTTAGTTAAAAGCTTTTCATCAGAACTTTTTGAAGAATTTCACACTTATCGGTCTGTTTTAACCATTTTTGACGAAAGAAAACTGTCTTATCAAATTTGAGTAAAAATATGATCGTTAAAAATTTGGTGAACTATTCTGTTCATTCATTCTTGATTTGGTGAAAAAATTGCTCTCTTCCTTGATTTAATACAAATTTAATGAAATGATTGAGCACAAGCTTCTTCTTTCTTTCTTTTTTCTCATCAACTTAGAATTTGATGTAGGATTGGAGATGCTCCTAGGTTTGTTTAAAATATGGTTCTTCTTTTTTATCTGTCTGTGTTTTACAAACATCAATTTGAGGGCTGCTCTGTATGCAAAACCATCTTGATGTTTGAAGTGCTTGTCTGATTTCCATTGGATGCTTTGGGTTTCTGAATTTGGGATTTTACTTGGTTTGTGGCGTGATATACTAATTTTTCTTACATAACTAAAAGGAGCATGAGCCATGGTGCAAAAGGTACATGGAACTATATCAGGAGCTTAGAGAGAACTGGGAGAGGCTTTATTGGGATGAAGGTTACTCCAAGAAACTAGCTCATGATCATGCTAACTATGACTCTGCTGAAGATGATGATCAAGATTTTTCACCATACCGGTCTGTACTTCTCACTCTTTCTGTTTTATGAAACCAACTTGTCTAGTAGCCCATTATATTTATATTAATGCTGTGATGACCAAATTTTGTTCCAAATTTTCTTATTTATCAAATGATGTCTCATCACTGCATTGGTGTAATGGACCTCACCTTCCATGCATTATGCCAATGCACAGATGACATGTAAGGTGACACGTTAGATGGTAAACAAATTTGGTCATCCTAGCATTGCTTTTATATCCATGCACATATGTTGAATGCATTTACATCCTTCCTTATTCACTTCCATTATGTTATCTTGTAAACAGCCATATTGGACTTTTATTTTCTTAACTGATAAGGTTTACTTCTATTGTAATTTTGAATATTATGTGATGAAGATTAATATTGCATGCTATTTTGTGCGTTTCAGGATAAGGCGACCCCATGCTGAGCAAATGAAGGTACTGATGCGAATGTTTAGTATATCTATATGATGATCTTAGTAGGTTTAGTAATATAAAATGGCTTCAGCTGTCTTAAATAGAAATGAAGTTTCTGAACAAATTTTGCAGCCTTCTACTTAGATGTAAAAAGATAAACTCTACATGCTCATGCTCTATTTTCCAATTCCATTGCTAACTTCCAAAACTTTGGACCGAATCTTCTAAATCTTTATCATAACACTTGAACTGGTGCTGGGATATGCTTTCCTGCATTTGTTCCGTTTCAATCTCTTACATTACACATGACACTCCATGTGCATTTTGCCATCTGCATATGTATTGTTTTTTCTTCTTCTATTTTTTGTTATATTTATTCATTATTTTGTGTCAACTACTACTTCCCATTTTGAGTGATGCGTTACTTTTTCTTTTTTACATAATTTATTTAGTTCATGGTGTAAATATTGGTGAATAATACCATGGGACTTTACTGAATGCAGGGCCAAGGTATGGGAAGAAATATGCAAGATGATACCAGAGAAAAGGTTAACCAGATTCGAGATAAGTTTGAATATGACAGAGAGAAAAGAATGAGAGAAAGAGGTTGGTTCAATTAGTTTGGATATTTTTCATATATCTTTTTTTTTTTTTTTAAATAAAATTAAATAATGGACTTTTGTGTATCCTTAAGTAGTTGGACTAATGGACTCCATTAGTTAAAGGACCATGTTCGTGGGTTTATTAAGCACCAAGCACAGATTCTGTAGTATTGCTGCAGATTGTTGATTTGCCAAGTGATTTCAATACTAGTGTGACTTCTGGGCTCAACCATTAAGGGTGCTAACTGCCAAGCTGCGTGATCTAAGTTGGATCATAAGATCATGAAGGAATTTGTTTGTGCAAAAGTGGCAATTGGCAGGCAAGATGAGCTACATTAGAACACCATGTACAAGTAATTTGGCACCCACAACTGCTGCAAATTATGTTTATGTTGTTACTACTGAAAAAGTAAAGTCTTGGATGAACCTGACATAAGTGCCAAACAACCTGACATTTAATTTATATGTTTCCTTTTGGCAAATCTTTTACTTTTTTTAAAAAAAAAAATTTTTATTGAAATATTTAAAAAATCAATTGTTTGGTGCAAAGGTTATGCAAAATAGATTCGTGTTGCCAGACCCAAATATTTGGTTGAGTTGAATAGGCATTGTGCAGTAAAGTGAGAAATAAGTTTGTGGTGCCAATGTGTGCAAATAGTGCCACGGATTAGGTTCTACCCACTCCACCCGTTCTATCAACCCCCTTGGTGATTGCTGTTTACTTAAAACAATTCGATTTGTTTCAAATTCTGCCAGAAATTAGGTATACCCTGTACATCCTTCCAGTACCCCCTTTGTGTGATTGCCGTTTACTTTAAACATTTTTTTATAATGTTATATACCTAAAAGATATTGTTTTCAATGGCTAACTACATGTTTCGCAAGTTGAGCTCAAGCTGAAGCATACTGAACTGGTTAGTGCAGGATGGACTAAACCTAGTTGAGCTGATCTGAGCTTGAATTCTACTTACATTGTCCAAAGTCCAAAGAGGACAATGTAATATTCAATTCCACTTTTTTGCACTTCGACATCCTTAGTCTCTACTTTTGTGCTTTGATTTTTCACTCTTTAACTTTTAGTTTAATATAACCGAGTCTTTTTTCTTGTTAGTCGTACATTTTCCATCAATAGTTATGTATTATTCGGTACCCAACATCATATGGTTTGACAACAAATTTCTTCTGTGCTACAAGGACCTTTCTTTCACTCCTATTATTGTGAGCGCTCAGTTTTCTCATTTTCAGTCCGAAATGTCTTACATTGTGCCAAATACCACCGTCCCTCATCTGAACTAGATTTCTGTAGGCCACATCATTGGAACTGTTTGTGGTATCCTTACTGGATTAGTTTCCACAAGTTACTACTTGGTTGCGTAAAAATTTAGTAGTTGTTTATGTCGGTACCTGTGGCTTTCTTATGGCAGGGCCATTATTGTTGGTGTTTAGTCAACTGTAAATCTCTTATTTCTTGAGGCTATTTTTGGCAAGAGAATTTACTATATCTTTCCTGGCGCCTACTGCAATAGTTCAATGAGATGGATAGTTAGGATCTCATGCTTGTTCACACTTATTTGTAAGCTTGCTGGGAAGGTGAACCTTAAGACACCGCAGAGAGCTCTGCGGAGATGGTATAATTTAATTGTAGTTTTCCAACATTTCAAAGGCTAACAATCCTTTAGCCTTGTTAGAAAATATATCCTATAGAAAAGATGCTGGCACATTGAACGAACTTCATGAAACCCTAAAAAGGTTCACATTATTGTTCCATTGCACATTGAAAACTATGAACTCATCTTTGCAGCTGTGACTCTGTGAGAGTGAATATACGCATTAAATTGTTATAAAAATTGCTATAATAGATTTTTACTTGTATTACCCATGGACATGCCTAGTATGAATGAATTTCATTTCATTTCTAGCACCATTCTTCTTTTTGGTTTTACTATTATTTGATTTGCTATGTGAGATGGGTTGTAATTCTCACTAGTGTCTTGCTTGCAGCCTTTGCACCTATGAACAGAGGAGCGGGTTTTGACTTGGATGATTCAGCCTCCAAAACTCAACAATTTGACACTCGGAGATACTTCCCCCAGTCTGAAAGAGGCTGAATGGAACAAGATGTTTAACATGAGAACTGACCCGTGTCCTGCTTGTATATTGTCATGTCAAGGGACCTTAATCCTTGTAAGATGATAGCCCCGCTAGAGATCTGCAGGAAGAGCATTGAGAAGTTGCAGTCCTTGAAACAAAAACCAAGCAGCTGTATCCCCTATTAGTTGTTTATGAGTAAACGATGACGAGAACACAAACACAATCACAATCACAATCACCATCAAACAATTGTTTCCTGTTTCTGTTTTTCATATGGGCAATATATGTTTTTTTAGTGCCTTAGATCTCATTGGAATATAATATTCTCCCCTTTTCATATTTATCAAATTGGAGTATTAACACATCACTCAAAATATGTTTGTTTCTTTTTCTTTTTAATTTTAATTTATTTGGTCACATCTGTTTCTGAACGCATGACAAAATTGAATGTATGATGTTATATCACTAGCACAAGACGCAAGAGTCACACAAGGGGCATGTTTGGTACAACTTTTTATAAGTTAAAAATTAGTAATCAAAAAATAAAAAGGTCCAAAGCACATTTTTTTTTTCTAACTTTCAAATAATCAATTTATTTTTTGTTTAATAAGCTTTTAAAAATTGACACCAAATAGCCTACTATTAACACAACTATTCATCATTTTCTATCCCTCTAGTTACAACCTCGAAGCCAAAGGACAAGAAGAGGAAGGATAGGTGTGTAAATTGGGCTCGACTTGGCCCACCTAGGCTCCCGCCTCAGCCCACTTAGGCTCGTACCAAAATTCGGGCTGAGTTGAGCCGGTTCACGAGTCAAAAAATTAGGTCTAGGCCCAGGCTTATGGGCGAGGTGGGCCTCAAGCCGGGCCTAGATATTTTTTTCATAAAAATTTTATTCTCTTCTACTAAAAATGACATTGAGCCTTGGGCCGGGCTTTGAATGGGTTCATGGCCAAGCCGTGTTTCAAAATGATGGCTCAGGCCCAGGATCCTTGGCTGGGCTCGAGCCCGGGCCTAATCAATCTAGGCCCACCCTGGGTCACTGGCCAAATTTACACCCTTAAGGAAGGATAAATGCATAATGTCAATAGGGGTGTAAATTTGGCCCAGCCCATCTAGGCCCAGACTGGGGCATGCTCATGTCCGGAAGAGCTGGGTTGGCCCACGGGCCAAAAAATTAGGCCCAAGCCTAAGGAGTATTTCGAATCTTGGGTGGGCCTAGGCCTAGGCGTGGGCTCAAGCTTGGGCTGGGCCTAGGCGAGCCTGAACATTTTTTTTGCCAAAATTTTATTATTTCCACTAAAAATGACATTGGGCCTAAGGCGGCCTGGGTGAGCTGGGCTTCAGATCTGGTTTTGAATGGGTCTTGAGTGAGTCAATGATCGGGCCACATGGGCCGGGCCAGTGTAGACACCCCATTTTTTACTGTCTTCAAGACTTGGACGTCATCGTTTAAACACTCGATGATTTTTCATGCTCGTGTTCGTTTTGAGTATCCGATGGTCTCGGCTACGCGCCTTGCCTTAGGATCTTTCAACTTGTCTGTTTTGTGCTTGGTTGTGAACCAAGGACTTGTGGTTTTACTTCTGAGGGAAGAGGGTGGCTTGTGGGCCATCCCTACAATCCATCGGCCAAGGCCTTGTGCCATCGGCCTTGTTTTCTTGCATCGGCCATAAGTGGTGGCCGATCGGCACTCTTTTTGGTCGATCGGCCATATTTTTTGGCCAAGACCTTTCTATCTACTTTTTCAAATATTTTTATGCCAGCTATGACAGCTGGTGAGCATAGATTTCATCCTCCATACACGTGTATGGAGGGATTTGATTCAAGTCCTTAGCTTGTTCAACAAGCTTAGGAATTGAATTTCTATAAGAAGGGAGACCCCTCTCCCTTTCCAGAGGTTCTAAAAAATTGAGATACAAGTTATATATATCTCTCTATATTTCCTCTCTCTCTCTATATTTGTGCCTGTTTGTACTCAAAAGTGCATTTTCTTCACACTTTTGCACTAAAGCACCTAGTGAAACACCATCCTTTTGTTACTGAGGCTCTTAGAAGCTGGTTTTGGTGTTTTTGGTTTGGTTTGAGCTCAAAAGAGTTGTTGGAGTTGTAGCTTCAAAGTGGTTCTACAAGGGTGAGCCTTTAACCCCTTAAACCTTGGTTTTTGCTTAAGCTCTTGGACCTATTTGCATGCTTATTTAGGCTTGACTTTCTATTGAAAAAAGTTCTGATTTTGCATGCTTATAATGTTTGTTTAAGGTCACTTTTGTGTTGGGGGTAGTCTACCCCCTCTTAGGCCTTCTGTGGCCTTGTTCTTGTGCCATCTTTTTAAGCTATTGGGATCACCTTGTTTTGGCCTTCTTACCACTGAAACTTAGGAAAATTTCAGTGGTGGAAATGGTGTTTAAAGGTCCTAAATAGGAGAGGGTCATCCCCTCTCCTTGTGTCTTGTATGCTTGTATAGATGGCTCATCAAAGTAGCATGTTTGTCCAGCATGTTTGGGTTCCATTTCAGCAAGTTTTTGGTGTTATTTTGGCATGCCTCAACTCTATTTTAGGTTGGTTTGATAGCATCTTGCATACTTCACATACTTGTAGTGCAATCTTGCATGCTACCATAACATGCATCATGTGTTTGAACCATCATTCTTGCATGTTTTGGCTCAACTCCAAGAAGTTTTTAGCCTTGTTTTACCATGCTTAAGCTCTGATTTGTGTTATTTTGGTCATGCATGCCATGCTTTGTATAGCCATAGTGCATTCTAGCTTGTTAGCTTTGAGTTTCCAAGCCACTAGCATGCATTACTTGCACTACTTTCATGATTTGGCATCATTTGAAATGTGATTTCAGTATATGTAGTGTGGTCATACACTTGCATTTGTCACCCTTTCAATGCTTTGAAGAGTTGGTGTTTCACGCCTTAAGAATGGGTCATTGTGCATGCCACCATACTTAGGCCTTTGGGCTATCATTTTAGTGTATTTTTTGGTCTTGTCTTGCCATAATATAGCTCTGATTTTTGTTGGTGAAGCCATCTCATGATTGGTTTTGTTGGGTGTAGTGCAATCCCCTTTGTTGGCCTTGCATACTTCATGCCTTATGCCCTTCATTTTGGCTTGTTTTGGCTTTGCTTCATGCATGTTTTAGCATCATTTTGGTATGCTCTAGGACTGTTTTGGGTAGCCTTGGCCATATGGTTCATGTATTGCATAGTTATAGTGCAAGTGTCTACGTTAGCTTCAAGCTTTGAGCCCTTTTGCATGCCATACGTGTATTGTTTGGTTGATTTGGCATCATTCCATGCATGATTTCAGAGTTTATAGTGTTATTACACTTCCACATTTGTCACTCTTTGATCACCTTCGAGAGTTGTGTTCTTATGCTTAATTGATAGGCCAATGCATGTGCATGCATTTTCTTATTTTCATGCCATTGTTTCATCCTTTTGGCCACTGTTTTGGACCCTATTAGGTTTGTCCATATGCGGTTTAAGTCCACTAAGTGTTGCATTACATGGTCCATTGCCATTGCATTGTTGTTTGCATATTGTTGCATGACATTATAATTTGCATGTTGTAGCATGTTGTTGCATGCTTGTTCCATTATATTGTTATTGCATGCTTGAGTTGCATTGCATGGTGCTTGCATGCTCATGTTGCATTACATTGTTTGCATGCCATTAGCTTTGTTAAGTTGTGCGTGCATTGCATTGTGTTTGGTTTGGGTGTTAAGCCAAACACGAGAAACAATGGACGTTTCATACTTAAAGTAATGAAACGTGCCTCAATTGTCGGTCGCCGACCCTCTTGATCATGTATGGTAGAGGTTAAGGCATTTATGTGTTTTTGTGCATTCATTTGGCATTGGTTTGTGCAACTCGGCCTCTTTGACCATCATGCATCGAAATACGTGATTGATGGCTTGAGAGCCGAGCACTACACACCTTTGAGCCTTAGACATGATAAGGGGTGTAGTTGCACACATATTTTCTTGCAAATAAATTGCCATGCCTCTGTTTGTGCTCTGTTGCAGCAAAAAGGAGAGTTTGCAGGAAGAGATGCCCGATCGGCTATCTAATGTGCCGATCGGCTATCAAAAATTGGCTGATAGCATTGAAATTGGCCGATGACCTTTATCCTTTGGCCGATAGCCATACCTCTTGGCCGATGACCTCTCAGTGTGTCCATGAGGTGAATCAAAAATGTTTTGGAGATTGGCACAATTTTCAGAAGTCTAAAATAGTGCAAATAGAGGCAACATGAGGCATGGTAACGGATTTCCGAGCAAGGCGATCGAGCATACATCTTCGAACTCTTAGAACTGAGCCGAGGCTTTGTAATTTGTAATTAGCTTTACTTGTTTAGTTAGCTTTTGAATTTGTAATTAAACTAGCTAATTTGTTAATTAGTTAACGTGTTGTAACAATTAGCTTAGTGTTAGCCAGTTATTCAATTTGATTATGTAATAATTAGTCTAATTAGATTATTAGATTAGTTAGACTTGTTTAGCGTACTCATTTGGACCCTTCGTCGAGAGGGCAAATTTTGTAATAAGTGTGCGTGAGTGTGTGAATGTCTTCCAACCCCACGTCTTTCTCCCTTTTACTTATCAGCTTTTGATGGTTAGTTTTAGGGCATATTTCAATTAGCATCCTTATGCTTCGCATGCGTGTACCATTCATCTGTCTTGCATGCACCGAGCTCGGCGCATCATACAAACCGCATTGTATTTCAATACATTTACTTGAATACGTGTTCAACAGCATGTTATCAAGTTGCATTCATATGCCATCTTAGAATAGCCGAGCCTATCTTAGTTATATTTTGCATGTGTTGCATTAGCCATTTTTTTTAACATAAACTAGGATCATGCATGATTTCTATCTAGTTGTTTTGGCTCGGAGTACACTGCAAGTGTTTATGTTTTAGCATCTTGCATGCGTGTGAGTGTTGTCATGATAGCATGCTTGCCATGGGGCTAACTACTTAAGTGATTAATTGCATGAATGCCTGTGGATGAATGTTGGATTTCTTGAATTGGAACAATTCATCGAAATGCGAGTTTTAAGCCCACTTTGCGAAGTGGCAAAATCTTGTTTTCTAAGTCCACTCGAGGGTGCCAAATCCATGTCTTAGCCTACTTGCGAGTAGCACCTTTAAACCATTTTCAAACAAACAAACATGAGATGTTTTGTTCCAACTTAGGCGATTTAGTCTATACTTGTATGTTGTACGCATCACGTAGTAATGATAGATTAATAAACCGGAATAATAATACATGTGCTTTCAAAAATAAAATACCATGTTAGTAAAGGCCGATCTTTAGATTAGGCGAGCGGAGGTGCTCATTGCATAACCTTCCCCTCTCGTACCC